GTCTCGTGTATTGCCTCACTATCAGCGAATAGTCAGTGTCAGGCTAATTTGAGCTAGTAGCATGCGCTAGCTAGCAAGTACTGTTGGGTTGCGAATTTGATACTCACACAGCCACTTGCGTCATTTACTTATCAGGTTTTTGAAAAGAAATTATGAATATGGTAAATATGAACGAAAACCACTTGCCACTTTACGACCTAATGGTGTCGAGCAGTCCGCTTTGGAAGCTAAACTCAGCTGGTTACTGGCTTACGGTTAGCCAGCATCAGCATGATGTGCCTGGCCAGCTAACTAAAAGCCAACAATACCCTCTTTCCAAGTCGGATTTAACTAATACTTAATGCAGTTTACTCACCGTTTTATGTCCACTCTGGAGGATCCGAGTAGCGAATAAGGGGACCTGGGTAAGACCCCCGTCGCTTTCCACACAGTTTCCACAACCAAAACAATACTTCTGTACACACACACACACTGCGGATCTCTGGCCAAGGTTTAAAATGTTTGTATTTAAACGTGTCCTCTAAAGACTCTTCTTCTGAGAGGGGGGTTCCCTTGCCTCTTGTTTAAACGCGGGGACCCCAAATGTAGCTAGAAAATCAATTCGAAACTGCTAAAACTGCCCTAGTCAACGGAGACTTTTAGAAATTAGATCCCCTCAAAACCAGTCTCTTTTCCCTTTGCAAAAATGGCGGCCCTACCAGGACTGCCTTGACTCCGCCTCTTCTCCGTTCCTCACTCCCTCTCCATCGCTAAACCCGAGCTCCGCCTCCACACACTGCGGGGCTTACAGTCCCCATTTCACAGGGGCGCCGTGACCGTGCTCGGCGCGCGTCCACCTCGACAATTCCTCAAGAGGGCTGCCGTTTGTGTCGGTAACGCTACGGAGTAAATTTATCTTGCGCGATTTAGACGATGCCCGTAAAATTAAAACGGAGAGTATGTCTGGAATCATTTTAAAATGTAAATTAAATGTGCAGATTCTGAAAGATAGCGCGTGAACCTTTTTTCTTTTCTTTTTTAAACAGCTTGTTTATAACGCCAGTGCTATCTCCAAGATCATGTTTTGAAAGTGAAGTCAGCTGTGGGAATGCTGTTATCTGGAGGTTTTGTTTAAACTAATTGCTCTTTCCCCCTCCTGTTTCCTCCTCTTCCTCTCAGGATAAGAAGAAGCGATAGCCTGCAGTCTCTTAATGGGGATTTTACCTCAACACGACCCCACATAGGAAGTTTACATCAAGTGCAAATGCTACAGTAGCTATAACCTAGTAATTTGCTTTTCATTTGCTCTTATATTTGTTTATAAATATAAGAGCTCTTATATTTATTTATAAATATATATTTGTTTATAATACACGAAAAGTAACACTTGAGCAGTCTGAGTAGATCAATCCACAATTTTATTATTAATTTACAAAAGCTATAAACTATAAATAAAACTATAAACTATAAATAAAAAAGCAACAGCTGAGCAGTCCCGTCTGAGTAGGTCAATCCACGTTTTTATTATCACGAGCAAAACAACATACATATAAATAGCCTGCATTTGCAAAATCCTTTATTTTACCCACTGGCACTGGCTGCAAAGAAGCACCCAAATCCGCTACCCCAACTCAGTAGGAGGCAACTAAGCTGTTATGTAACCCCTTACACAAGACATTTTCTATATTAAACTGATATTAGGAATAAATACCCTGTGAAACATAGCGCACTGAGATTTTAATCATGGATAACTAACACCTGGCGAGCAGGAGAACACTTTGAGGGCCTTATAGTAAATAAACTTGGAAGAAATCAGTAAGTAAATACAGACTTAAAGGCTTGGAGGACACATCAACTCACTTCAGTCCCATTTACAGACTTGCAAAAATCTGAGTTGCTCTTCATTTTCATTTAGTATTTAGTAGTGGATATCCGTTTTATGGCCGGTAATTATTATCAAGGAGACTCTGCAGTTAACGGCCCGTTTATTATTGGGTGTAAGCTGTAAAAGTCATCAGTCCACTTGGAGATTCTAGCAGTTTCCCCACAAATTTTATTATGATTGTGGTGAATCTGTTACGGCCCCCTGTCCAGAAACATGTCTGTAGAAATCCCTTTGACATCATATGTTCACAGAGGATGTTCTCATCGTTTCCATTTATCCACCCTCCCCCACCCTAAAACCGCATCCATTCGCGCATGCGCCCTCTCGCAGGACCGCTGCAACGGCTGGTGCACGGGCAGACAGGGTTCGTTTGATAAAAACTCGGGGGGAGGACGGAGGCAGAAAATTCTAGCAATCGTCACCCGCTTCAAACGGAAATGTTCGTAAACGGCTAGAGTGGAGGTTACAGCGATAAATCTGCCCCTGTCTGTTTTCTTTTTAATTTTTTTCTTGGAGCGGATGCCATTTATGCCGTAGTGCCCACCAGCATCGTGTTGTCGGTCCGAAGACGATCCAATCTCTCCTATGTTAGGACGGTGGCGCACAGTTGGTGGGGGATTAGCAGTGGTCCATAAGCAACTGATGAAAATGGTCATTTTTGAGAAATGGTTGGTTTCTGATGACATCATGCAGTTAGTATTTGTGGGCGGGCTCTGAGCTGCGAGGGGAGAGGGGCGCAACCGGAGAGCAGCTACTATCAGGCGCCATTAGGTAACAATGTCAAATTAAGTTTTAAGTGTGTGTGGTGTAAAGAAACACCCAAATCAACACTTAAAAGCGATGACATTTCTGTGTACATTGCGTGGAAAAGGACTACCAACAACAAGCGATAAACGGCAGCTTCCTTCCCTGAAATGAAGTCTTTTATCGTTGTCGTTTGAGAACAAGATGGCGTCGATGACTTTTTTTTTCTGTTTGCGCTCAGTTCGAGCACTTCTGGGCGGCGGCGCCGTGCGCGTTCTCGCCAGTGTGATATTATTTCCTGTTTTCGTATCCTGCAAAGTTCAAGTTATGGTTTAATTTACAGGTCAGCAAACCAAGGGGTGCACATATACATTGTTTGTGACTAATGGACAAAAAGTTGTTGTTTTTTTCTCGCCACGGAAATATAACGTGTGAACCTCAGTTTGAAGTCAGTCCATCATTGTCAGTGCTAGTGATGTTTAGTTACACAAGCACTTCATTTGCCTCTGTTTGTACACCAACAAACACTTCAACTTTAACAAAAGTGGATACGTTTAATTTGTAACACAAAAACATTCAGCGACACCACCCGGACTACATCTGTTTAGCTTTTGACCCCATCTAGTGGCACAGCCAGGGGACTTCATCTAGCTTTCTATAAAGTGGAAATTGGGTTTTTGGGTATAGTCTTATGTATTTCAGTTTTAATGTAGAACAGTAGTTTGACACAATGATAATATGAGTAGCCTACCTTTTGCATCACTGTCATGTATTAGTTACATTTTTTTTTAGCTAAGTCATATTTACATAAAGACAAAGGTAAATAATGTAAATAAATTCCATTGTCTAAGACTGCAAAATCATATTGTGAAAAAAACCCTCATTGCTTCACTTCACATCAGAGCCTGTGGGATATTATCCCTACAAGTTGGATTTTAAAAAAGGAAGTACTTATCATTTAATCCCTGATCCACAATATAATAAGAAGCATCTGGATTTCGAAAAGATGAAACCTCATCTATTCAAAGTTCTGTAAGCCTGTGACCATATCAGATTAACCAAAAAAAGAAAAGAAAGAATAACAACAGCGTTTATTGCATCTTTTTTTTGGTTAATTAACTCGAAATGGAAGTTCACGGAGGTGGAGAGTGAATCTTTAACCCTGATTATACAACAGTGTACAAGCATGGCAGATGGATGGCCTTCCCTGAGCCTGGTTCTAACAGGTTTTTCTTCTTGGTAAAAAGGAGGGTTTTTTTCCTACTGTCGCCAAGTGCTTGCACATATTCATCATTGGATTGCTGGGGCTTTTTTTAATATTGTAGGGTCTCTACCCAACAATATAAAGCATTTTGAAGTGACTGTTGTTGTGAATTTGTACTAAAGTAACTAAAAGTAATTGAATATCAAACTGAAAGATAATGATTGGTATGTGATTATCGTATCATTACTCATTTACTCGAGTTAGCTGCAGTGTGCTGAGGTGGCTCAAACCATATAAAGTGAGACCAGTTCTTTGTTTTTTGTTTCTCATTATCTGACAATAAACAAAACAAAAAAACTTATGTTTCTTATGTGTTATTGTGATATAAATCTGAGAAAATTTCAGAATAATTCTTGCACTTTTTAGTGTTATGATTTTCTCCTAAATGTATCATTTCAGCCTCATAAATTATATGGGTCATTGATTTATTTAACTATTAAATTAAATCTAAAATGGCCCTAATAGACCAGTGTACTCATGACCTAAATTAAATGGGGTTTATTCAGTACCAGGCATTATTTTCTAATTGGGTGCTAACAATGGAATTAGTGTCACTGCTGTTAGGCAAATACAATCTAGAGAGTAAACTGGGCTAAATACAATATCAGTTTTTCTTATTATTAATCATGTCCAAACCATCTCAGTCTTGTGATCCTCAGCTTCCCTCTGAAGTACTCATTTCTAATCCTCCCAACAAAATGTTCACGTTTTCAGCTCTGCCACCTCCAGCTCCACCTCCTGTCTTTTTGTTAGTACCACTGTTCCCAAACCATACACCATATCAGGCTACTATCTTGTAAACGTTCCCTTTATACTGTTGCTGCTATCCTTTTGTCACAAATCACCACTGACACTTGCCTGCACTCTCTTCACCCTGCCTGCGCCCTCTTTTTCCACCTCTCTTGTGCACAGGTATTTAAATTCGTCCACCTTCACTACGTCTAGTGCCTCTTCACTGTCATTCAAACGCTAAAAAAATACATTGTAATTAGATTAAAATGTAAAGGTTTACATACTACTACAACGCAAATAAAATCTGAGGATGTCACAGCCCAGCAGGGTAAAATTTCATTTTGCCTTGTCAACAAAAGGGGGCGCTCTGAAATATAACACCCCTAACTTTCTGTCCAATCAGACCTGGCGTTGTTTGGAGGTTGCTTGTTGACAAGAGGAGAAGGTGACTTCTCAGCCAGCGGAGTAGCACCTAATCTAGATCTTTACAGAGTCTAAGAAAGGCTGGATTTTTGAGACAAAAGCAGCCATGTCTTCATTTGGGAGGGCATTGGGAGTCCTTCGGACCGGAGCGCGACTGCTACGACGCGAACCCGCGAGAATAACAAGCAGAAAGTAAGCCTTTAGCACGCTAGCTACTCTGTTAGCTTCAGCGGTTAGTAGCTAGCACGTCGATATATTCAAACAAGCGAAGTCTGAAACACGGCAAAGTAGTTAGGTTGCTTTCTGCATTATTTAACTTGAGTTAATGTGTGCCTTTTTTTTTTTTAAACACTATCTGTTTGTCAGGGCGAGTGGCGGACCGCACATTGAGCCACAGTACAGACAATACCCGCAGCTGACGAAGAAGCAGAAGTTTGAGTCGGAGCTTATCAGTGGTGTCATGTGGTTCTGGATCCTTTGGCACTGCTGGCATGACCCTGATGCGGTTCTGGTGAGTAGATACAGTGTAAACAGTAATGTGAAAATGAAGGATGGCTGTAGTCCAGAATAACACTGCAAAACCAGGTCAAATCAGGCAGAATCACAGTACTGTTAAAAAGCAATTGTTACTCCTAGCAAAAAGCTTTAAATTAACACAAGAACAGCTGAGAAACAAACTGATGGAAAGGGTTATAAAGCCATTTATAGAAAAGAAACGCATCTTGATCATCCCCAAGGTTTTTTTGGGGAAAAAATTTATTTGAACTGAAGCGCGAAAAGCTAAACTTTGAGAAATTTTGAGCCTTGTTACGTGTGGCATAAAACTGACCTCTACCAGAAAATCCTGAAGGAGAATGCCCTGTCATCATTTCATGCCCTGAAGCCCAAGAATACTTGGGTTATGCAGCAAGATAATTATCCAAGACACACCAGCAGGTCCACCTCTGAAGGGCTTTCACAGTGATTTAAAAAGCTCAAGGGTGCCGCAATCATTAGGTTTAGATGGGCATTACTGGATGAAGTTTTTCTCTCGCTTAAGGAATGAAATAATTTTAAAACTACAACTTGTATGTACTCTGGTTATTTTTGTGTAATAAAATTTTATTTAAACGGAAACATCTTAGTTTGGCAAATATGCAAAAAATAAGAAATCGGAAGGGGGCAAATACATTTTCACAACACTGTATGCCTACCTATTCATGCAGTAATTAAATTAGCCCACTGGTTCTTGAACTTCTTATCAGTCACTAATAATAAAAAGCAATCAAAGTTGAATTTTAGTTAAGACAGTTACAACAGTAGCAGTCAAACATTCAAAACTCAAAATTCATTCATCCTAGTTTGACGTCACTTTTTTCACCTCGATCAAACTGCCCCATCCACAGTGTCTCCTTAGACACCACAGTCTAGTGTGCATAGAGGTGATGCAGATACAGGTTTTTGTTATCACGTTAATGATAACCTGCTTCAAAGTAGGTTACGTTAGAGAGAAGACATAAACAGGAGTGAAAACACCACCTACTGACAAATTAATTCTGGAAAATGGCATCACCAACGTTTGAAGATCTTATGGACTTAAGAACCCACGGCTAGAGCTCAAAGTTCATTTCAGTCTAGTTATCTATGTAGACCAACAGTTCTGAACAGCAGCTGCCTCAAGGCGCATCAGGAGTGTCTGAAGGCTTTCTTTCTCTGAGCACAAGGAAGAAATTTGTGCATATTCAAGGTATGAAACTTGATCCGTTTAAACCTTGTAGTACTCGCAGATCTCCTGACCATGAGGGTGTGAATATACAGGGAGTGCAGAATTATTAGGCAAGTTGTATTTTTGAGGAATAATTTTATTATTGAACAACAACCATGTTCTCAATGAACCCAAAAAACTCATTAATATCAAAGCTGAATGTTTTTGGAAGTATTTTTTAGTTTGTTTTTAGTTTTAGCTATTTTAGGGGGATATCTGTGTGTGCAGGTGACTATTACTGTGCATAATTATTAGGCAACTTAACAAAAAACAAATATATACCCATTTCAATTATTTATTTTTACCAGTGAAACCAATATAACATCTCCACATTCACAAATATACATTTCTGACATTCAAACAAAACAAAAACAAATCAGCGACCAATATAGCCACCTTTCTTTGCAAGGACACTCAAAAGCCTGCCATCCATGGATTCTGTCATGTTTTGATCTGTTCACCATCAACATTGCGTGCAGCAGCAACCACAGCCTCCCAGACACTGTTCAGAGAGGTGTACTGTTTTCCCTCCTTGTAAATCTCACATTTGATGATGGACCACAGTTTCTCTCTCTTTTTTTTTTTTTTTTTTTTTTGCCTGTCCCGTTTGGCTCTTTTGCCATCAGAATTGTTGTCTAAAGGCAAAGAAAGATGCCCAACGGATTTACTTTACCAAATTGACCATCCCAGCCTTGCCGTAATGGTCCATTTGATTCACCTTTTATTGTTTATTTTATTTTCACTTACTGAATACGGGACAGACTTGACTGGGGAAGAGGGGAAAGAAAGAGGGAAAGAGAAACAGCTGAGAAGAGGGACGGGGGAGAAGGGCAAAAGACAAAAACCAACAGAACGGAGCAAAAAAAAAAAAATGCATATATCAATCACCTGGATCACCTGTTGAGAAAGAAAAAAAAACAAGCAGAAGAGAACAAGAGTAATAGAATAAACAACATCACAATGATATATGGAAATATGACAGTAAATACTAAATATTAAACATTATTGTGCAGCACATAAGATCAACAGAACACAGTGTGCTTTGAGGTAGGAGCCAAAAAGGGTGTAGTTTGTGGGTGTGATCACCCGTGTGTACACCTGTGAGCATGGACGCGCTTGTTTTTTTTAATTCCTTCATGTAATGATCTGCTAGAGGGTGTGGGGGGGCCACAGCCCCGTCCTCCAGGGATGAAGCAGGTATGGAGGAGATCAAAACTCCAGACATCCAGAGGCCCCCAGAACACAAGAGACCAAGGAAGACCAACAGAGGGGCAGCCACGCCACTGTCCCAGAAAGAGCTGAGGAGAGTCCCAGATGAGGGCTCACTCAGCAGCCGCGGAGCAGAAGCCAGGGGGAGTTGCAGTGACGCGCCCAGTGAGCTTCGCCGGCAGCCACAGGTTCTCAATGGGGTTCAGATCAGGTGAACAAGGTGGCCATGTCATTAGTTTTTCTTCTTTTATACCCTTTCTTGCCAGCCACGCTGTGGAGTACTTGGACGCGTGTGATGGAGCATTGTCCTGCATGAAAATCATGTTTTTCTTGAAGGATGCAGACTTCTTCCTGTACCACTGCTTGAAGAAGGTGTCTTCCAGAAACTGGCAGTAGGACTGGGAGTTGAGCTTGACTCCATCCTCAACCCGAAAAGGCCCCACAAGCTCATCTTTGATGATACCAGCCCAAACCAGTACTCCACCTCCACCTTGCTGGCGTCTGAGTCGGACTGGAGCTCTCTGCCCTTTACCAATCCAGCCACGGGCCCATCCATCTGGCCCATCAAGACTCACTCTCATTTCATCAGTCCATAAAACCTTAGAAAAACCAGTCTTGAGATATTTCTTGGCCCAGTCTTGACGTTTCAGCTTGTGTGTCTTGTTCAGTGGTGGTCGTCTTTCAGCCTTTCTTACCTTGGCCATGTCTCTGAGTATTGCACACCTTGTGCTTTTGGGCACTCCAGTGATGTTGCAGCTCTGAAATATGGCCAAACTGGTGGCAAGTGGCATCTTGGCAGCTGCACGCTTGACTTTTCTCAGTTCATGGGCAGTTATTTTGCGCCTTGGTTTTTCCACACGCTTCTTGCGACCCTGTTGACTATTTTGAATGAAACGCTTGATTGTTCGATGATCACGCTTCAGAAGCTTTGCAATTTTGAGACTGCTGCATCCCTCTGCAAGATATCTCACTATTTTTGACTTTTCTGAGCCTGTCAAGTCCTTCTTTTGACCCATTTTGCCAAAGGAAAGGACGTTGCCTAATAATTATGCACACCTGATATAGGGTGTTGATGTCATTAGACCACACCCCTTCTCATTACAGAGATGCACATCACCTAATATGCTTAATTGGTAGTAGGCTTTCGAGCCTATACAGCTTGGAGTAAGACAACATGCATGAAGAGGATGATGTGGACAAAATACTCATTTGCCTAATAATTCTGCACTCCCTGTAGGTGCACCAGTACATCGACAGCTTTGCTTTGATGCTCGGCTCACTCCACTGTGAAGGTCTGGCGCAGCACATAGATTACTGCTGATGCTGCACCCTCCCATCACTTATGAGTAAGATCCCAAGATACTTTAATCCCTCACAGCTTGGAGCAACTTCCCTCCCTCAACCGAGAGGGAGCAGCCCAACCCTCAGTTTCCCAGGAGAGAGCCATAGCCACACTTGAAGGTGCTGACTCTCATCAGGGGCTCACTATCATGTAAAGTCATGTGATCTGGGTAATGAGAAAATCACTAGTATGAGCGGCTGAAATGAATTTCCCCATAGGCTGTTTTTATGCTCACCGCAGGAAGATTTTATAGTTAAATAAACCTAAACTAAATATAAAAACCATTCTAGTGAACCCTTTTACCCCTAACCCATCACTGCAGACAGGTTTTTGCAACATTTTTGAACAGTTTGCGCTATGGTTTCTGAAAGCAGTGGTTCTGTGCTTTTCAGTGATATTGGGGTCATTACAGTAATCCCAAGCACCGTGCCACAAGATGAAGGTTTAGAGAGAGTTTGATGGAGTTATGCAGAAAACTGGCATTTTGTCAATATTTTAGTGGCAGTATTGTCTGAGTGGCAACACCTATCATTCAAGAGAACGCTGAATGTGTGACGTTGGAGTGGTGGTGTGTGAAGTGAACCATGAGGAGGGTATACTGGTCCCTTTAGGATGGCAGGCGTCAGCCTTATAGATACTTTAAGATGCTCAAAGTTTTATTATTTGAAGAACACTGAATAGTTCCTTTGATAAACAGCCTACAGATCAGTTTCCTAATCTGTGTTCTGTTAATTGCAATACTTGAAAGGCAGGAGATTGGCACCAAACAAAAAAAAAAAAAAGGAGAAGCACCTTCATGACACCGAAAACTCAGACATTAAGCTCAACGTAGCTCTTTAAGCTATTAATCTCGCTTTGTAGTCCATCCCCGTAGGGAGATGATGTAATGGTGTGGAGGAGGCACGCTAAACTTTAACTCCAGTTACTCTTTCCATCCCACTTCTAACCAGTGAAAGTCCAGGAGAATCCAGTTGAGGAGAGTTTGGATGAGGTAGTACAGGAGCATGAAAGTACAGCTGATAATCTGCAGTAGTTATGTGGTAGAATTATGTCGAACCACAGCTGTGTCAGTATGGCATTCCTAATAAAGGGTTTGCTGTGCACAGACTTGCCAGGAACAGGATTTTATTGATATAAATTGATTGAGTTAATTGATTAAGATTCATCCCTCCTCTGCAGGGTCACTTCCCTTGGCCGGATGCTTCTGAATGGACAGATGAGGAGCTTGGTATCCCTCCAGATGACGAGGAATGAGGTGATTTATCCAGTTTCCAGGCAAATGCCCAACAGGACAGCAGAGTTAACTTTCACAACATGCTATCCAAATGACCACAACAGATGACTGGAATCTGCTATAATAGTTTCAGCCCTTTAAACTAAAAGTAGAGGTTTTGGCAAGTTGTGTTTTTGTTTGTTTGTTTTTAAAAAAGCCTTTCTGAAATATAATGTCCTTCTACTTTATTTGAAATCTATGAAGTAAAAAGTACGTTTTAGTTGATCCACGGGCTTCTCCAGATTCACCAAAAGATTGAAAAGAGATCACTTTTAGCTTTATTGGTCCGCTAACCTCGCTTTGCACACATTCAGCTCCCTGCATGGCTTCAGTTCAGTGCCTAAGGTGAGAGGGCATTTCCTTTTTCTTCTTTTTTTTCTTTTTTGAGGATTTGCAGACTTGTCTGAAAGGTTGACTCTTCAAATCAAAGGATTCTGATGTTTTTGTCATGTAACATCTGCCTACACATGCAGGCACTTAGCACTTTGAGGATGTTTGAAAGGTGGTGGCATCTCTTATCTGATATAGTTAAACATTTATGTATTTAGCTGTAAAGTTTTAACTAAGTCTGTAAAAGTGAGAGTGGTGCACAGTAATTTTTTTTCATGATAAGAGAAGCAGTCAGATTTGTGAAGCGCTCTGGGTAACTTGGGGATATTTTCCACACTTCTTTCTGGAAATGCTTTTTAGGTGAGCGCTGCATGGGTGGAGCAGCCAGACTTCTCCCGGAAGTTGAGGGCTGCAGTGCAGCTGTGAAAACCTCCAGTTTCACATGATTACTTAAATGCTGTAACCTCAGAAGCAGCTGTACTTCAGTCTGAACCCTGCAGAGGGCAGTGTTGTAAAGGTTTACCTTAAACCTTTTGCACACCTGGTTCAACTGAGGTTACACTCACAAAGTTAGTTACAAGGACAGGTGTATACGGTGTATTTTTGTGTCTTTTGATTGTCAAGCACTATATAAACTTAAATATTAACCTTTAAGTGACACGTTTGGCCACTTAAAAGAATTACCCCAGGTGCACCAGGCCAATGTAGTGTAATACATGTAATTAATCTTACAGGTTATCATGGTTAGTGTGAGGGGTGCTGATGGTAGTGACATGGTGCCTGCAGGCATCGTCAGCACATTATGTTCAAGCAGGGCAACTTCATGAAGGACGTAAAGCTGTTTTTAGACAAAATGGTTTTATTCATGTAAACCATTATTCTACTTATAATTTAGTAATAATATTGTTTATTTGAAAAGGTACCGCTTCACTTTGGTGTACCTAATAAAGTGCCCGTTTCTTCTTTGCAGGTCACCACAGAGGATTTGGTTTGCCGGGCGAGTCTTTGGGCTGTTCTGAAAGTCATTGTTGTACATAGACTTAATAAACTTATCTTTAAATTAAAACAGGAAGACCAGCATGTCATTTCATTACTTTTATTTATTTACACGCAATTTCTGAAATGCATTAACAGTGTCACAGTTAGCCAGTGTTTGTATATTTCAAATCATAAGCCATTTAAATCTGGAAAAAACCATTGCAAGAGCCAACACATATTTAAAAAAAAAAAAAAAAAAAAAGCTGAGAGCTGCATTTCAAGCAGTGCGAGGGGGACAAATACTACAGCTTATTACAAACCCTGCCTGCGGGCCAGTTCGTGTTTTTATTCTGTGAGTTAACATGCAAAGACTTCAAAGATTAAAGTGTAGTGTAAAAGAAAAAGGAGGGGTACAAAGGAAACACTCAGGGTTTTTTTTTTTTTTATGTTAATTCTGTGTTTTGGATCTCATCACTCACCTGAGGAAGGCTCACACTGTTCAGAGGGCGCTCTTAAAGCTACATGGGTGCAGAGTCAACTTAAACTAGGGTGTCTTTCCACTTAAACAATGAGCTGAACACGTGTTTGGAGGCAGCGAGTGGGAGTAACACCAAATGGGTAAAAGTAGCCTAAAGATACAATGACTGTTAAATCTGACCTGTTGCTTTTTTTTTCTTTCTCTTTTTTTTGAGCTATAAAAACTGAAAAACACTGAAATAAGAAGTTATGAGTGTCTGCATCCATGATGTGTGGCTGGTGGTTAATCGAAGGTTATGTCCATGGCATCATTCCCTGAGAGTGAAGAACTGCACACACACACACCTCACATTAAAGAAAAGAAAAAACCTCAATCATCCACATGTCAGTTCCTCAATCGCTGACCTTTTAATACATCATCTACTTTGGATCGACCACAGTGGCTCAGAATACCTGTTGTTTTGTTTTTTTTGCTAAATGGTGTGGCACTAAGTAGAGAAAGCTCAGGAGTAGATATGGAAGTTTCTTAACCTAGACTATCCGCACATAGCCCATAAACAAACCAAAAAAAACCTCTACAGGAACAAAGAGGACGAGGATCGACACAGGCTCTACTCAGCTGGGAAGGGAAAGATGGGTAGCTACTCAACAGATGATCACATGAACTCTAAAAACATCCACATTTACAAAAAATTTTTTAAAAGGTTAAAAAAAAAAAAACTCCCTACGAAGGGGGGGGAGAAACACCCTCAGGCTCACTGAGGTTTTTAGGGTGAAAATATAATAAAATCATTACCTCTGTTCAATTAATAAATACATAATTCAGAATCCATAAAAACAATAAAAAAAAATCACATAAAACGCGAAATAAATTAAGCCAGAGTCGTTTCAGAGGTGACGACTTGTAATTCCTATGGGAAAACAAATTCACAGAGAGGCAGCATTTTGAGTGACTCCACCCCCACCTCCAACACTAGGTGCAGTTTTACACCTGTTAAAATTCTGCGAGCAGAAGAAACGCACCAAAGTGCTGCCTCTCGCCCTTACCTCTCTCCTTAAAAAAAAAAAAAAAAGTTATTGCTGGTGTGATTGAGATAAAGAGGAAGGGTGGGACACAAGCATGAGAGAGTGGAGAGACGTACAAACAAATAAGCACCATTTTGAAATTTCAGTTTCACCACCTCTTTTAGCACCGCGTTTCACCTCCACCCGTCCAGGTAAACAGACCCTTCGTCCTGTTCCGTTTGTCACGAATAAAAAAAAAAAATAAAATATATATATATATATATAATAAAAATTAGGCCAGGGGAGAGGTGGAGGGGTGATCAGCAGAAGGGGGAAATACTAGCAAATGTGACGCAGGTGATCTTGGCATCAGAAGCAGTGGACGTCTTGCCGCCTCACCCTCTCCTCCCGCCCCCACCAACATCTCTTTTTTTGTCCGTCCAAAATGCCCACAGGAGCTTCAAGTCCACCGTTCCCTGCAGCAACATGCTCCTTTCATGTTTTTGTCTTTAGTGTGCTTGTGGTAAAGTCGTGCGCTTGCTCGTTTCCAATCCGATACCCTGTCTCCTAAGCATGCACAGTGAGCGTGTTTTACGTATCAAAGATTTGTTTCATCTCCAGGCAGTGTCCATGTGATTTCATTTCTTTTTTGTTTCATCCACCCTCCCCCCGACATATTTTAACTGTCTGGTAAAAAATACACAAAACTATCTTCTTCTCTCCCCCTGCTCCTGACTCCTCGCCCTTCTTTCAATGTCTGGGGGGGTTACACGAAGACGCGGTTGTGTCTGCTGAGCTTCAGGATCTTCCCCAGTCTCTGCTTGGCTGTGGCCATGCCTTTTTTGGGCCGTTTGCCTAAAAAAAAGAGAAAAATGAAAATATTAGCGGGATTTATATTGTAACATCAAATAGTGAGTAACATTTCAACTATCTTCTCACAAATCTGACAAATAATCCATCAAGTGGCCTAATCATGATGATAACCATAAGTGGCCCTTAAAACGGGCCCCTGACACCAAAGAAAGCACCTACTTTATATTACAATAATTAAAGAAACTAATACAAAGTAAACTAAACACTGAACGGCTACCCTGAGGTACCCCTGAGCAAGGTACCATCCCTACACACGGCTGCCCACTGCTTCACTGAGTGAATGGGTTAAATGTAGAGAGTATTGATCCCCGTGGGGAAATTAAAGTATACATTAATCGAAGTAAAATATACTAACACTTCTTGCATGACAGTTAAGTCCTGGTTAAAATTTGTCCTGATCTTTGATCAGCTTTATTTTGGAAAGGTTCTTTCTGTACTTTCTATTTAATTTTAAACAGTTTTTAAACACTGAATACCACCTCTCCCACTGTCAGAGAGCTAATCAGAGAGCTAATTCCCACATCCTGCACATTACGTATTGAACCATGCTTTATCTTCTGTGCCAGTTAGTGTGGACTGAAACAGCTTCTCCATTTTTCTGCATATTAACAAGCAGAAATGATAAAAGTCACATTTCAAACCTTTTGTGGCCTGATTGCTGATTGGTGGAGGGTTCGGGGCGTGCCTCTTGGAGGGGTGCAGAGGTGGAGACATTGAGGGGTCACAGTATTGGTAGTCCATCTCTGGGCTGGGGAGCCCTTGATTGTCCCAGGCTTCGCTGCTGCTGTTTCCCTGGCTGTCTATCGGGCTCTTGTCCCCCTGCAGTCGGCGCTGGTGCTGCGCCTGTTCCAGCGGGCTGGGCCACCAGGACTCCTGGAGCGAGTCTGCCGTCTCCGACTTGGAGGAGCACAGCAGACCAGCCATAGACAGCATCCCCTGAATGGCCTCTGCTGTGCTGGGTGAGGTAGGACATTCTCTGTAGGAGGAAGACGAGACTCATTTTCAAAAAAGGTGCCCCGATGGCGCCGTGTTCACGGGGGCCTTTCAAGGATTTTGTTTTATTTATTTATTTGGTTAAACGGCCCACGGATAATCAGAATATTTGAAGAAGCATAATAGTACTGGTCACAGGCCTGCCTTGATCTGTTTCCTCACCGTTTGAGTGGTTTGTGTTTGTGCCTGAGTTTCTCGCCAGACTGGTCCAGCTTTATGTGCCCTGAGCCTGTCTGCTGCTCATCCTCGTCCTCTTCATCCTGGGAGCTCTCCGAGTCTTCGTCAGAAGATGATGACGACGATGACTCTTTATGCTACATTGGACAGAGAAATTTCAAAAACATGCCTCAGAAGACAGTGTAAAAAATGATTACCCAAAGTACACTCTGTTCAGAAACACTGAGCTCTTAAACCGGCTGTGTTTGTATAAATCCTGCACATCGTTTACCTCTGTGGGAAAGTCGCTGTCTGACTCGATATCTGACACACTGGAGTGTCCTGAGACTTCTTCCCTGAGTTCAGTCTTCATCCTCTCCAGATCTCCTGAGACACAAAGGAACACATCGTCAGCTAAATGCTTGCATGGCTACAATCGTCTGTTGGTTTAATATTCACTGAAGACTTACTGAGGAGTGCGGATTTCTCAGCTGTGCTGTGCTGTTCCTGACTGTCATACATCCTCTCAAACTTCACGTCCATGCAACCCTTGGGTGGGCCAACAGACAGTCCCTCATCTTCGGACTTTACAGGGCTGCTGCTTCCCGGTCGTCTCAAATCTCTGCACACACAAATATAAAGTTCATGTTAACATGCAGAGCAGGTGACTAATTTATATTGTAATAAACAAGAAGAGGAAAATAAATTGGACTCCTCATCTCCTGACGGCTGCGTCACAGCTCAGAAGAACAGGCTTTGTAGATTAACAAATTCATAGTTTCTGTTGCTGACTAGTAAACCTTTCTAAATTCATTTTTACTTCATGTTATTTTTTTATTCACCAAAGTGGTTTTATGTTGGTTTCTGGAGTTTGTCACCAAAACAAAAGTACTAGTTTGACTGGCTCTGCACACTGATTCACTTTGCTCCCCCACCTGATGATTCTTCCGTTGACCAGCATTAGCCGTATGTGGTTGTCTTCCAAAGACTCTGCAGCAGCAGCTGCAGATGCAGTTGACACTTTGTTGAACTTTGCGTGAACCTTGGCACCAAACGCAGGATCCTGGATACAGAATATTAAAAGTATTGTATCAGTCATCAACAACACACACAGAAGCATTTACAAAAAGCTTTAATCGGTGCAAAGCTGCATTTAAGTGAAGACTCCAATTACAATAATAAGTACATTGTGCACCTTTTGGCCTAACTAACGGCATTTTGGTTTCTTCCTTTAATGTAGATTAAACACACATTCTGAATGTTTGCTCCTTGAAGCTCACCTCCTCCAGTGGCCCGACCTCCAGCCTCTTCAGCACATCCCTGGTGTGCTGCTCTAAGATGTCCAGGTTAGTGGGTAGCTTGGGCGCATGGCGCTCCTGCTCCCTCAGTTGCCTGGCGGCCCTTCGAGCTCGCCGTGCCTGGCACAGCCTCTCCACCGTAGCTCGAGTGGACAGGCAGCCGTTTGATCCCGAAGGTACTCCACTTCCCTGAGATTTCACTAGCTTGCTACCACCCACTGGTTCCTCCTAGAAAATAAATGTAAAATAAATCATGCAGTGAAGGTTGTTACAGTGTGCAAAAAAT